CCCTACAACCTCTTTCTGACTAGTTGCTAGGTTCTCTCACCATCTCTGGCTTGAGAGCTCCTGAAGCTGATGCTGCTTTGGTTGCTACCACCTAGTTCCACCACTGGTATTTCATACACGTGGGTTCCAGTTTAGCCTCCACTGCCACGTCACATATCTCTCTTCCTAACCTCTTAAATTGTCCTGGGCTGGAAGAATGCCTTGTTGTGATCTTTTGTTGGCTTTTCCACTCTAAAATTAGATCTGAGGCATTATTTTAAAATTGTTTGGAGAGAAATGTTTGAGAGATCTCAGCTAAGTGCCTCTCTACTTTGCCATCTTGACTCCAGCCCAGAAATTTAAGACCAGTATGAATTAATTAAAAAGTCTGACAAATAAAGGGAAACATTTTGGCTTAGGATGCAAAATTTCGAATATTCCTTTTATAGCCTAGCATGTGTTCTACTCCTTCCTGCCCCCTGCTACTATAGATACTTACTCTTTTTGGTGAAAAAAGATTAGCACATGTTAGAGAACTAGCAAAAATTATAACTTCATTTAGCTGCTGATATAATCTTTGATAAAATCAGAATTATTGAAAGAAAATAAAACAACAGTTTGGGGAAAAATGTAAGAAGCATTTAGGATCAGGAAGAAATATTAGTCTATGCTTCAAGAATGTACAACCTCCCTACCATGGAATGTATGCTTTTTTTTTTCCCAAACAGTTTAAAACATTATCCATTTGATTCTGTCTGTACTATTAATTTGCCTAGCAATCCCCTAAAAGCCCTCTCTTTTTTTAAATCATAGCTACTTCATAGGTAATTCAGATCTGTCCTCTCCTAATCCTCATAAATTCCTAACTAGTGGCCTCCAATATAATGAAATTTCATTGTACATTCATTTCTTCTGGTGGGCCAGTCAGACATAGAAGGAAAATTATTTTGTTTGAAGTGTTGAAGCTTTGGCTTCTTTCTGCCTAGCTGTGACCCTAAGATTAGCCATGCTCCATTTGTAGTAGGTTCTAAATGACTTTTTGTCAATAGCAGTCCATCAACAGAGTGCACCTGTATTACATGGACATTGAGGCCAGTACTGACAAGACCTATTTATGCCTTGTTTATTATCATAGTCTTTGCAAACTCTGAATTTCAGAGCAAGAAAATGAAACTGTCTGCTATAAAACAGCATGACACATATTTTGACAACCTTTTACAGTTGCGCTTTTGTGGAGACCAAGGCAACTGATGAATCAGGAATTTGGGGAAATCCTATGTTTATAAGTAAAAGCCTTGTATAAATTAATCACATGCAGGTTAGGGCAAGTACATACACAGAATAAAAGAAAGTCTCAAATCTAAGGCAATACTGCCTTACAATAGATGAAATACTGGGCTAAGAAACTCAGCTTTTCCACTTATTCCCTGTGTGATCCTAGGCAAGTCGTTTCTCTATTCTGGGGCTCAGTTTCCTCACTTGTAAAATAAAAGTATTTGATTACATGGCAAATAAGATATATTTTAGTTATAGATGTATGGATCCCCCCCAAAAAAGATTAAGATGTTTCAGTTAAGTATAAACATTAAGCTAATACTGGCCAAAAATTCTGCCAAAGGTCATTTAGAAATCCGTCAATTAGGAGCCCATTGGTGAGGTCTTTATTTCACTAGAATGGTCTGGATGTGGGTCGAGAATAGTCAGATTGCAAGAATTTGAATAGTGAGTGGTGAGGAGATATTTCTGCTTTCCTTCCAATCACTTAAAAATCTAATGAGGGAGACAAAATATATGAACATAAACAAATCCTTCTAACAAAGCAGAGTCAAAATCAGTGAGGTGGTAATAAGTAAAGAAAATATACTGAAAGTACCAATTCTTAAAAGTCTTCATGACAAAGATGACCTATTAGAAGTGGCCTCTAATACCTTTGAGGAAACCCACACCATTCCCTTTGTTCTCAACACATAGAAATTCCTTACTAACTTACCAACCCTACTTAGCCTACAATTTTGCTAAGGAAGTTACTCTAGGATCACCTTGGTGGTGTACATAACTGAGTCCTAGGGCTTTTGCTGTTTATTTACAGAAAAAAATGCTGATCATAGTGACTCTGAGGAAGGATACGTTCAATCTTACTGACCCCAAGTGATCAAAGCCCTTTTAGACACTTAATGAAGACTGTTTGCCAATAAAGATGTCAGCAGTGATGATTTTCCTCACTCTGTAGTGCATGAACAGTCATCTACAAAATGGTGGTATAGTCATTGCTGTATGGCTTAGGCAGCTATCGATGGCTTGGCGGATGGCATTGAGCTTAGAGTCAGGAAGATCTGAGTTTGAATTCTGCCTTAGACAATTAGTACCTATATGACTTTGGGCAAGTCTCTTCATCTCTCTCATCCTCAGTTCCTTAATTATAAAATTGCAATAATAGCAATAATAACAATAATAATAAATACCTACCTCCCAAGGTTGTACTGAGAATCAAATCAAATCTGATATTACAAATTTAAAGTGCTAGGTACATAAATGGTGATTGTTCATTATTATCATTACTATTCAAGTGACTTCAGGTCATATTGAGTTACACAGTAGGAGAAATTTCTGGATTTTCTCATTTCAATATTTTGTAACAAAGTGGGCCATTGTCAGCTGGGAGGTAAGACTTTAACACAATCTTTTTATCTTCTCATCCCATCAGCACTTATATAAGTGTGTGATTCACTCTTTTCTCCTGAAAGTTGCTTATGTTATCTATCGGTGTTAAGAATCTTTCCACCAAAAACTGGGATTTCTTTTCAAATAGAATATGGGAAGTCTACTTCAATCTTTTCTCTAAATTTTCCTATAGTGTTGAGGAACATATTTCATAGTATGTAAAACACACTATAAAACAGTTAATGAAAATAAAATTTAAGTTATAATAATACTGCTATGTGGAGATAAAATTATGACCCCTTTTAAAGGCTAATTATAACAGTTCTAACTTTAAGTATTTATATTTCAAGGAACAAGGTATCATATTTGCTAATAATGAACTGTGCTGCAATGTTTATATCAGTACTTCAGTGGATGTATAAAACATTGATTTGGATACTCTAACGGTGCAGATTAGGACTCCTGCTGAAATTCTTGTACATGTCAATCTGTAAGTTATCCAAAGAGGAACTATCCAATGTGTTATAGGCCTTCTTTTGGGTCTTATAGAATTTTATGGGTATCAATGAAGCACTAGGAAAAAAAAAATATGTGTGTACGTGTGTGTGTGCGTGCGCGTGAGCACATGTTATGCTTGCTTTCCTAAGTGTCTAGTCCACCTCCATTTCTGACCCTGCATATCATTTCTGGATATTACCTTTTATACCACTACTCACTTGCAAGTCATAATTAATCATTTGTTGCAACCTTACTAGGCCAAATTTATATCTCTTCTGATTGCATATAATTTATTTTAAGAGGTTGTGATATTCCATGATTTGCATACATATATAATTCCAGAGTAACTGTGTGTCATCAGTGTAACTGTGATTACATCAATGTATTTCCTTCAATTATGTACCTACCAACTCATCCTTCCTTGCTGATCCTGTGCTATTCTAATCTATCCTTTCCCATTGAACAGAGGTTCAAGCCAATGTATTTCACATTCTATTAACATTTTATGGATACCAGTAATGGTTGTGCTTCAGGTATACAACACTAACTAGATGATGGCCCATCTTTTTATTTTCTGTTTATATTTTGGCCTGTATTTCTGTTGTTACACCTTTAAGAGAACTGATGATCTCATGTAATTCCTCATTTGTAATGGTGTTCTGCCTGAAAAAAACTACCTTGAGGTTTTCCATTATTTTTATTTTCTATATCCTCAGCTTCGGTTAATCAGAGATTATAGCATTCCACTACTCATGGCCATATAACATCACCATAAAAATATTGGCATTCAACAAATAGGTCTTTGTTTAAGGGAAAATCCTAGAAGTCATAAGAAGAACTGTCTTTGGACTTCCTCTGTGCCTGTAATCCCTCTAGTATAAAATAGAGATGCCTCTTTGTGACTACATGATAACTTTTTAATTTCCCATTAGAACCCTTGAGTGTTCTATGTTTCTGTCAACTCAATATTGTCTCTACATGACTTCCTGTCTTTAATCTCTGCACCTTTGCAGATTCTATCCTACATGTCTGGAATTCTCTCCATTCTCATATTTACTTTGTAGCATTCTGAGCTTCCTCTAAGGCTCACCACAGTTTTCACCTTTATATAAGATTTTTTTTTTCTGTTTCCACAACTATTAGTGCTGTCTCCACCCCTGAAATTTGTATGCTGTACATTTTGTATTGTCTTATCTGTGCATGCCTTGGTTTCTCAAATGTAATGTAAGAATTTCTGACATTCCATTTCTCTTGGAGGACAGAGACTTTTAATTTCATTTTAATACCATAATGCTATTATATGCTAATAAATATATGTTCAATGTTGACTTAATGAGTGTTGAATATTCCATCTATTCTATCTACTTTTCCCAGCTTTGTTTTCTTCAGGTTTGTCTTAGCTTCCTCATGTAACACATTCAGGACTGTGGTGTCAAATTCTAAATGTGGTAATTCCATTCTCTCTATAATGAAAAAAATTCTATAAAATTTTTGCAGATCTTTTCCATTTTTAATGTTTGTTTTCATTCAATTTGTTTCCATTCAATTGCCTCTCATTGTCATATAAGGTGAAACCACTCTTAAACATCTATCATTCCTCTCCATAGGATCACACAAACAAGTTGTATCCCAATTCAGTGTTTCCCTTTGCTGCAACATCTCACACCACTTTGCATCTGCATCTCTGTCTGGTTTAAACTCCACACAAAATATCCTTCCCAGGATACATCCCTCATTTCTAATCTCATCACCATGCTGCTTTCTCAAGCCTAGGATACCACCTCTCTCAGTCTCCTTTCCCCTTTGATTGGAGAGCTAGAGTGTGGAATATTGAATTTCTCCCATTGTCTTCCTTTATCGAGGCAGAAAATGGACTTTCTGCTAACTCCACTTTGCATCTGCACCTCTGCCTAGTTTCAACTCCATGGAACAAGAGCCCCCTTGCCAGGTACACCTTGATATTCCCCTTCACTTGACACCTGCTATTTGTATGATGTCTTCCCTTCTTAAATTGTAAGCTCTTAGAGGGCAGTGACTGTCTTTCTTTTGCTTATTCATATTCCCAAAGCTTAGCACAGTGCCTGGAACATAGCAGAAACTTTAAAATGTTTATTGAATTGAATTGAATTGCTTGGTAAGGAAATCAAATGTTTGCTGTCTGTGGTGGTCTCTAGGGTAATTTGCCCTTAAATAACAATTTATTTATCTTTGTTAAATTTCTTTATGAAATGCTTATATTCTCCATCAATATTCATTTCTCTATCCATTACCCATTTTTCAGGATCAAGCTTTTTATGTGTGTGAAGGTTGTATCATTTTTATTTTATACCATATCTTTTAAAATTACTTTTATTAAATGCTTTGTTCTGGGCCTTCTTTTCTATATGTTCTCTTGTGGTTGCTGTATCACCACCTTTAATTATGATCTCTATGAAGATGGCTCCAAAATGTATAGTATCAATCACTAGTCTCTATTCTGGCCTCTATTCCCATATTAACTGTATTTCAAATTGGATATACTGCAGGCATCTCAAATTAAGTATATCCCCAATGGCATTCATTAAATTGTTCTCCCAACCTCAAAACACTTCTCTTATGAACCCCCTATTTCTATCAAGGACACTACCATCCTTCCATTCCCCCAGGTTCATAACCTTAGAGTATCCTTGGTTTCTCACATTCCCATGTCTCACATACATTGTCACCTAGTCATGAAAATTCTATTTCCACAACATCAGTCACATGAGTTCTCTCTCTTTTTTTCTCCATTCACAAGACTACCACCCTAGTGTCTTAATTTATAAAATCTGCCAGGGATTATTGCATTTTTTAATTAGTGCCCTTTCCCAATTTTTTTTTCACCCTCTGATCCATAGTCCCACACAGCTGCCAAAGTGATATTCTTAAAACAGTATGTCATTTCCCTGTTTGAAAAGTTCCAGTGGTTCCCTATTTCCTCAACTATCACAGAGCATTTTAAGTCCTACATAACCTGGCTCTCCTCATATATTGTATACCCATTCATGTACTCTACAGTCTAAACAAACTGGTCTTACTGCTGATCCTCACAGGAGACAGTCCATCTTGCATTTCTTCGCTATTGCTCAAATTATCGATCATACCTGGAATGCACTGCCTCCTTCCCTACACCTCTTAACATTCCTGATTTCCTTCAGAATTCAGTTCAAGTGCCACCTACCATGTGGCACCTACCATTTTTTCATCCCTGACTTATTAGTGTTGCCCCCTACAGACACTATCTATATCTAGAGATATAGATATATCTTTGTATATGTTTTATATATACTTATATCTGTACATATTGTTACTCCTGGAGAAAATATATATCACTGAGGGCAAAGACTTTTATTTTTGTTTTTATGTCTCTATTGTCTTGCATCAAACCTTGAATGTACTAGGTACTTTTGTTGTTAGTTGGTCCTCACAATGTCAAATATAAACTTAGTCTTTTTTTTTTTTCTGAGGAAGCATTTATGATAAATAAGCATGAAACTCCTAGTCCAGGGGTAAGGAACTTGCAGCCTAGAGGCCACATATGGCCTTCTAGGTCCTTGGGTATAGTCTTTTGACTGAGTCCAAGTTTTACAGAACAAATCCTTTTATTAAGGGTGTTTGTTCTATGAAGTTTGGATTCATTCAAAGGACTGCACTTGAGGATCTAGAGGGCCACATGTGGCCTTGAGTCCTCAGGGTCTCTACCCCTGAACCTAGTCTATAAGCCTTTGTATATAATTTTTTTTACCTGAACTGTATTTTCTGACATTTCTTCACTATCTCTCCTCTGCCTACCTTCACATTGATATTACAGATTAACAAAGTATATGATGAATCAATTTGAAGGGTTTTACTATGTTTGCCATAGATTTTCTCTGTTTTATCTACCACAACAGGTGTTGATAGAAAAGCTGTGATTAATTTCATAGTGATATGTTTGCATTTACTTATCATGGGAACAGCAATATAAAGTGACTAAATGCTACATTAAATTATATTTCTGGTTGTCTCTGGTTGGAGGTTAAAATTAATTCAGTAACTCCTTTATTTGCCTCTCCAGGATGAATTTTTGAGTCATTCCTTTTAGCGGCAACTTTCTTTTTCTTTTAGTTTATAGGGGAAAAAAAAATTTCAAAATTAAAATCCCTATTGAGGTAGTAACTATCTTGTTAGTGAATTGGACAAGAATCTCACATTCAAAGCAACAAAAGGTAAGATATGTAGAGATGGTCTAAAAACGTTTGATTAGCATTCTCTGTACCCCACACTCCCTTTCTTGCTCTGCCATTCTCTACTCTACTATGTCTGATTGCAGAAGCAAGAGACTCTCAAGAGAGAGGGCTGTGGATCATTTTTAAACATTTTTCTTTGTTTCATGGATTGATCATCAAGTTACTGGGCTATTGATGAGAATCTCTGTCCTTAGCTAGAATAGTCTTAGTAAAGAAAACAGTCTGCTCTGTGGACTATAAATTAAACCTTTTCAGTAAGTCAAACATGTAAGAACTTGTGTTTCACAGTCTTAAAATGTTAAGATTTATCCCTGGGCTCTGTATTAAAGGATGAGTTTGTGTCTAGAAAATCTTTGAACCATAAGCAAATTATACATAATTGCCTCTATATGAACTAGTTTCTTGTCTTTCTCCTACTCAGTTAAGGACCCAGCTTATTACCCATTTGGCATACTTATTCTAGATATCTATATTGACATAGCAACTCAATGACTTGTCCATCTAATTGTATATCATTGTCTAGGCAACAGACATTAGTCTTCTATTTAGTTTGTCTTGAGAGAGCTGCTAGATTAATCTCTTTTGAATGATTGTGGATTTCATTGAGTACAATATACTATGTCCTTGCCCTTGCTGTAATCAGAAAAAATGTAATCTGTATATAGTTTACTTTCTCTATATATGTTTGAATATTATCTCCCCTCAGTAAATTAGAAGCTCCTTTAGGGCAAGGAGTATTTTTTTTTTTTACCTCTTTTCATGTCTCTAGCCCTTAGGACACCATCTCGTGCATAGTAGGTACTTAACAAGCATTTATTGATTTATCTTCAAATAGTAACATCTTCAGGACTTCACAACCTATAAGAAATCCTTTATATTTGGAATATGTAGACCAACATTGACTAAAGTTGTGAATAACTTTGCAAAGTTGTTATATGCCTTGATTTATATCAGTAATCAGAAGATTATTGAACAGATTAATCTCTGTTTTTATAAATATCAAGTAATCCTTAATTATCTTGAGAAATGCAAGGCTGAATTTTTTTTGGTATGGAAAATTTATGGTTGCATTTTCTTTCCTCAAAAAAAGTAAAAGCTGTTTTCATTACTAACAAAAACTGTACAGTTGGATCTTACATTCATTAGTACTTTCAGTCAAATTTGGAATTATGAAGATATGTTCTGTTGTAGAAAATAATTTGCAAAAAAAATATACCTGCTCTCTTTCCATGTTTTCCTTCAGCATGACCTTGATACCTGCATACAAATCTTGGATAAATAATTTATAGAAGTGAGAAAGTAAGCATATGTATCATATGTAATCTTCTTGGTTACCATTATGGAGAAATAATGATTTCAGATCAGTGGTTTTTCTGCCTCAAGTTAGGGTCATTTTTAATCCATCTTACACACAGATTTCAAAGCTAATTTCCTAAAGCACAAATCTAACTATGCCACTGCCTTACTCAAGAAGTTGTTTTGGCTCCATATTGTACCTAAGATAAATTCCTTTTTTGTCATTAAAAGGACTTCCACTTCTGGTTCTAGACAATCATTCTGTTTTTTTAAATATTATTCACCTTCACACACTGCACCTTATGTTCTACCCAAAATGGTTTACCTCTTGTGGAACATTCCATCTTGTTATCATGCTTTTATAGAGCTGTTGCCTACATATAGAATTCACCTATGTATATAGGCAGCCTTCTTACTTCCTGGCTGTTTTCAAAGCTTAGCTCAAGTGTACCCTCCTAAAATAAGCCTTCTCCATCCTCCCCTGCTATTAATAGCTCCCCCCAAGATCACTTTGCATTTATTATACATGTTTCGTATTTATTTGTGGATGTACACAGTGTATTCCAAGTAGACTGTAAATTCTAAGGCAAAGGCAATTTCAATGTGTCTTTGCATTAATAGTCCAAGCATTATGCTTGGCACTCAATAAGTATTTAATAATTATATATTGATCGATATTTTTAAAATTGACCCAACCAAAAATACCACTTTTAGTTCTATTTCTAAAGATAATTAGGGAAAAAGGAAAAGAAGCCATATGTTCTAAAATATTTGTAGCAACTCTCTTTGTGATGGCAAACACCTGGAAATTGAAACTGCCCATCAATTGGGAAATGGGTAAACAAGTTGTGGTATAAGATTGTGATGGAATACTAGTGTGCTATAAGAAATGATGAGGTCAATGATCTTAGAAAAACCTGGATAGACATGTGAAAAGATGAAGAGTGAAATGAACAGAACTAAGAGAATATTATACACAGTAACAGCAATATTTTTTTAAGAACAATGTTAAGTGAATAAGTCATTTTGACTATTATAATAATAAATTAATTATAAAAGACATATTAAAAAGATGCTGTCCACATCCATAGAAAGAATTGATAAAAAGAAGTATAGAATTAAAATATATACATACATATATACACACATACACATATATACATAAACATATGCATGTGTGTATACACACACATTTGTGTCTAATGATAGCTATCTCTAGGGTAGGAGAGAGGGAAGAAAAAAAAGAAAAAAATTACCCTAAAACTATTATATAGTGAAAAGGAATATCAAGTTGTACATAATAAATTCGCAGTTTCATGTGTAATCATCTTTTTAAATATACTATGTTTTGGAAGTGTTTATTTTATTTCAGAAATTAAAAATAAAATAAACACAAAT